CAAACGGTAAGATATTAAAATAGGTGAATTAGTATAAACTATCCTTTAAAAAAAATTTAGAAGCGGTAGACCAAAACAAAATTAATTAAGTGAACAAACTGAGAGAATTGATTTTGTTCCCATTTTACCCCTATGACATACTCTACCATATCACGAAATGACAAGACAATTTTTTTTCTTTATCAATTTTTCATCTATTTTATATTGGTTGATATAATGTTTAATTTAAAAATAAATCATATAACATCTGTATTTATTAAAAATGTAGATTTTTTTCATATAATATAGCAATAAAACATAGTACTAGCATATAACATACTATATATCAGTATGGTATAGCATACTATATGCATATATTACATGATATAATATGTTATCATTATACATATCATATGTTATATTATGATATCTACTAAATAAGCATCGTAATGTTGTTTGAAGGTTGTTTATAACATGATATATATGATTTAACATGTTATATAATATATTTCAAGTTATTTGTTAGTATGGTATAATAAATTATAGAAAGGAAATGTAAACAAAATAATAAAGTTTGATCATCGTAATCTCTTAATGAAATGTCATTTTCAATTATGGTATGCTATGTTCCATCATTGATTATAGTTAAATAAACAATTTTGTTAATGTGGTATGGTATGCCATATATGGAATATATCATAAATCTTGTCGTTGACATCTCGAGTAACATATAATGATGTGTTTTGAGAATAATGATATTTGTGTTTTGAAGATTGCTTCCAACATGATAGATATAATATTACATGTTATATGTTAATGTAGTATAAAAATAATAAGTTACATAGTGTAATTATGGTATGCTATATGTTACCAGTGAATATAATTGCATAACTAACCTGATTTATATGTTATGATATGTCGTATATGAAAACAATATGTTTTGGTGAACAATATGTCACAGAAAAATATAGAGAGAGAAACTTGTTTTCTGTGCAGATGAATAGTGATGCTGACACATAAATATCATGTCATAATGTCTTATCAAAACTTTTGAGAGATAAATGAAGGATATTATGGTCGTTTGGTTAGACGTTTACTTAATTGATTTCTCAAAAGACATATTCCATATAATTTCCCTATTAAATTTAGGTTACTCG